CCAGGCACGCAATTTTCGTTGCTTTGATAGACAGAATAGAAATGATCGCGATAATAACATCGCGATATCGTTCTCGGATAATTGATGGCAGTCCTTGCTTTATACACCTTTGGTCGGCGTTTGGATCTGCTGCCTTGTGGCGACCCATTTTGCAGTCTATTTCAAAATAATAAAAAAAACGGAAAAAAGAAAGAAAAAAGGCGTTAAATAATTATATAAACAATTGAAGGCTACACACAACGTCAAATCGCAATTTCAAAGCACAAAACATACACAATAGAGAGTACAACAATAACAATGATTGAATGGCCAAACAGTTTAAATCAACTTGCCTTGTGAGGATTTTTCGCTAAACTGAATTCGATTCGCAATATTCTGACAGTCAAAAATCCAATGGCATCAAATTCGAAGTTAATACACAGTCAAATTCACACAACAAAGACATATAAAATGAAGAATGCACTTCCACACAAATAAAATGAACTTCCTATCAATTCGATACAAAATACACTGTAATGCCGCTTTGATTTCTTACTGTGTGACTTTGGAAATGTTCTGTTATTTTAAAAACAAAACAAGAACAAGCACAAAATTCACCGTAAATAAATCTATTCTTTGCAAATTCACAATATCTACGTTGAAATTAGAAGAAAGAATTCTGTTGAAACTGAGAAATTAGTTTGCTCAGTTTTCAGTCTACTTTCGAAAAAATATAATTTCACACAATTTAAAAGAAGGTACGGACAGACACACAAACACCTCAAACAGCCAATTTGAGGTTTTTGGCCATTTTTGGCCAACTGGCCATATCTCGGCCACTTTTCAACCGATCGTGATGATATTTTTTTTTAACATTATCTACGCGGTCCTTAGATTCCGAATATGACTAAAAAAAATTCGAAAAAATCATTTCAGTGGTCAAAAATCGAGAAAAATGAATTTTCACCGATTTTTTCAAAATGCCACCTGGCGGCCAAATTTTGAAATTTTTTAATTTTTTTTGCGGATTCTTAATTTGGTGCCCGGACACTACTAAAATATGCAAAAATCCCTTTCCAAAAGTCAGCGGTATCGATTTTCATTTCTTTGACGTATATATAGAGTGACGCAAAATATACATATTTCATATGTATGTGGGTATTGCGTCACTTGGTGGACTGCCGTCCCCCGTGATAAATAAAAAAATTGAAAAAACACACAAATATTTTATATTATATGATTCACCAGAATAGCTTCACTTCGTGTTGTTTACGTTGTTTCTTTTGACAGATATCAATGTTTGACAAATACATATTTTCTCCACGTAACCATCTCTACATGGTCTACAAGTCAAAGCTATATATCATATAATATAAAATATTTGTGTGTTTTTTTCAATTTTTTTTATTTATTATAAATTCTATTAATTATTTTCGTTATTATTATTGCAAAACTTATTCAATTTATACAATTTTGCAATTTTATTTGCAAGAAAAAAGTATATGAGAACCTGGCGTGAAAGAGATGGCGCTTCTTAAATCGAGTCGCGTTCAAATACATTGTCAATATACAACGCAAGTGATACTCGATCTCGAATCTGGAGACCATTAGACATTTTTCTTCCAAGTGGCCATCGATATATGACACCAAATTTGATGAATAGTTCATTCCTAGAATATAGCGAGTTCACTTATCAACACACTAAAAAGGTTTCGCTAATCGCGTGAACTGCCGTCGGCCATGATATGAGCAAAATATCACTTATTGAAATGTTCAAATAGTCAATTTTTAAAAAATGAAAAACATTTTGGAATTCATTTCAATTACATTTGAGTGTGCTATTAATCTGGAAAGTTTATTGAACACTCTATCGATTCGAATTGACACCTCTGCCGTATGACAATTTTGGGGGGAAACAAATCCACAAACAAACACACATACCAAAGCCAATTTTGAGAAAAAAAAAAACATGTAAAGAATTGTTACTCCATAAACTAAACTTTTTTATTGATTCCGGAAATTTAACAAGACTTATTGATATTTAAGTATCTTTTGGCGAAAAATAATACCCCCTTATTTTTAAAAGCCAAAAGCTTCGTTTAGTTTTCTTAAACCTTAACTTTCTACGGATATATGACATTCGTTTACGGTCATATGCGTTTTCAGGGTCCAAATTCAATATTACAGATTTCCATAACTTGCAGTATATATGAACAAGACGCAAAATTGACAAATTTTGTCAAAGTTTCCAGGGAGCATCACTTCTGGAATTCAACAGAAGGTTTTTATTTTGTACAAAAAAATCTTATTTTGTATAGTCAAATACTCATAATTTAGAAAGACAGTTGAATTTATATGCATCGCCAAGCATAATTTTGGAAATGAAAGGAATGTGTACAATAGCTGAATGGTTTCTTCCATATATATTTTTCGTTTTTATGCGGGTTCCATATTTGTACTTCATATATTAACAAATAGAAGGAACGTTAAATTTAGCACTATATTTTATTTTTGATGGCTTGAATAGTGCTGTTTTCAAAGAAATATGTCTTCTGTTTCTAATTTTAAAAACAATTAATCTTTGTTAAATACAAAATGGATATTTTTTCGGTATAGGAAAAAATGCTCATAAAAATAATTGAAATTAATGAAACTATTAACACTGTTGTCCTATTACGTGTACTGTACTACAAATTAATATATCCAAAGTTTTAGTAAATAGTTTCTAAAACATAAATTATTTTTTATTCAGCAAAAATAAAAATTTCAACTAACTATTTATTTTAGGTTTCGAATTTACCAAGACGTCAGTTGTTCTTACACCGAAACATTCGAAAGTTTAAACTTAAGCATACTTCTAGGAATTCATCTTCGACTAGTTCACCGGAATTATTTGTTTCGAAAAATTCAAATGAGTTAGCAACACCATCAACCAGTTCAACACCAATAAACTCAAACGCTTCAAACAACACAATAATTGGTTCGAACAACGCGGAACAACTGGAGAGTAATTCGAAGTCCGAAACCGATGAATGTGAAATGAAATCCGATAAAAAAATATCTTCAATGAGGTAAATAAATATATATATATATTTTTCAAATTTTTCTATATGACTTAAATTTCTAGTAACAATACCAATGATAGGACGTCAGAACGCAAAACTGAATCATCTAGTATAAACGTGACATTAATTACGAATCAACATGAATCTACTGAAACTAACAAAAATCAATCAATTACTGAAGTTAAATCACGACCATTAGAACGGATTGGAGCAGATTGTAACGATGAATATTTTATAGACGATAGGTCGGAAATAAATATAAATTTCCAGAAATACCGTATGGTTTTCGTAGTTAACAAAGATGCCGTTTTCTACAAAAAGAGTGCGATCACTCAGGCACGAAAAGTAAGTCGATTAACTTATAGAATTTAAAAAAGATCCTAAATTTTGTTATTTTATTTATATAGACTCACCCAAAAATCACAAAGGCTAGAGCTAATAAATTCCATAAATTTGTACAAAAATGGTGTGAAGAAAATGTGAATGAGGAACAAAATGAGAGTTGCGTCAACTGGTTTATGGGAAGACAACAAAACCAAATACCAAATATTGTTACTATTAAACTGCAAGAAAATGATCTGTCAAAAACGCCATACGCTCTGTATAATCGCTACAAAGTGCAACATTTAAATGCATAGTTTTTAAGTAATAAACGTAATCGATTTGTTTGTAAATAGATATTTGTCTTATCATATGATTGAAAAAGGTAAATGTTTTCGAATGAATTTCACGAAAATATGTATTGGGAAAATTTCACGAAAATACATTCATAAACAAATCTGCTATTATTTCAATGTTTTTATTCCAATTTGGTATAATGCTCAAATCAGTTATAACAAATTAAAAAGAATTCACATATTCAACAATAAAACAAATGATCACGACTTCTTCCAGAAATTCATTTTATTTATTGCAAAGCTTGATTGCAACCCATATTTTTTAAATATTATGAAATTGTGTTTTTAAAGAAGTAAAATAAAAATTTTGAGCCCACCATTAAATACTTATTCATTTTAGTTTCACAAATCATTCACTGCTTTGATCATGATGAATTTACATTTTTGACGACGTTAATTAGATAATGAAAAAATATAAAGTTTTAATAAAAATAATGACTACATCGTTCCTTCACCTTGCGGTTCTTATATATATGTAGTATATAATGTGTGAAAAGCTATATAAGAAAAGTTCCAAAAATGGAGTGTACAGTACAGTTTTAATTTACAAGGATCCATCACTATGGATTGCGGACGTTGAGCCAAACGACATATGCCACGGTGTAGGCCTAGATCAGACCACCTACGCCACATATTCCATTCATGCCCATGGGAGTAAATTTTTTTCGCTACAGCCTTTGGTAGTTTTCATACTAGGAAGCATTTCGAAGAATTTAAAAAACAACTTGCCGATTATTCCTTTCACCTGAAAATTCTTATTGGGAGGTTTTTTGGCACGAGAAAGCCGAATCTGGCTTTTGTTTTGCGATACAATCACGTTGAAATACACTTTTCATAAAAAAATTTACTTTTTTTTGACAAAAATCCATCATTGTGTACTAATAATGCGACATCTATTCAAAGTTTATAGGTTTTTTGTGGCTAGATTTTTTTTTAGAGAAATAATAATGGATTTACATCTTGTATTTATAGTCATTTGAACGTTCATCATAGATTGAATATCGAGAATTTCATATCAAGAAAAAATGAACGAATCATCAAAACTTATTCACAAAACGATTTATATTCGTAGAAAAATTAACTTTTCAACTGGTCCAACTACTCAATTTGATTCATTTTGATCCAATGAGAGATAATTAATGATGAACATTTCCAAAAAATGGCTCAAAATTGAATTTTTTTGGATGGGAGGTTTGATTGTTTGTTTTCAGGCTTCCGCAAATCTTCAGAATGTTAATGATTTAGAGAGATTTTTGATTTTGCTTTAACATAATACAGAAAACTTTCTGCATATATCTGAAAAGCATAGTGTGCGAGGAAAATTTTTCAAAGGTGATTTTTCAAAAACTAAAAATACTACAACAAATCGGAAATATTTTCGTTTAGTTTTTTTGGAAGTCACTTTTTGAGGCAATTCAAAGAAATTTTCTCTAGCAAATCGAAAGAATTTTCTCCGAGAAAAACCCAAATCGGAAAGAGATATATCGGATCCAAAAACCTCAGTAAATTGAAAGAATTCTACTCAATTTTCTACATTTATGAGCTAAAAAAAGGTCTTCACTCTTTGAATACGTAGGCTGCTCCATATATTTCTAGAAAAGCATATACAACGCAATCGTTTTTTATCAAAAATGGCATTCATGCCACTCCGAAACCGATATCTCCAAAACGTGTGTTTTGAACGCATCAACTGCTTCTTCTGGCGTCGAAAATCGTTGACCACGCAGTTTTTTCTTTACGCTCGGAAACAAAAAGAAATCGTTGAGTGCTAAATCAGTACTGTACGGTGGATGAACCATTAATTCGATCTTTTGAGCGGTCAAATATTCAGTTGTGTGATGAGATGTGTGAGAGCTCGCATTATCATGATGAAGAATTATTCTGCGACGGTGGTTATTTTTTCTTAATTCACCAAACACTTCTGGCAAACAAATGGTGGTGTACCAGTCAGAATTGACTGTTCTACGATCCTCTAGTGGAACTGTTGCCACATGTCCGCGAAAAAACAGGCGACCATTTGCTTCGCAACACTTCGAGCGCGAACAACTTTCGTTGGATTATCTTCACTTTGGAAGACCCATACTGTCGACTGCTGTTTAGTTTCGGGCTCATACGCATATATCCACGATTCGTCGCCTGTGACCGCCTGTGACGATGTTATGGACGGAATATGATGCACCGCGGTTATATTTGTTGAGCATTTCTTTGCACCAATTCACACGAGCTAATTTTCGATCATCGGTCAATTTATGTGGAATCCAACGAGAGCAAATCTTTTTTACGGCCAAATGTTCATGCAAAATCGTGAGTATGCTTCTCATACTAATGCCCAAGGATGCCTCAATCTCACGGTATTTGACATGACGATCTTGCTTTATCATGTTTCTGATAGCATCGATAGTTTCTGGAACAACAACCGATTTTGGACGACCTTCACGGAATTCGTCGATGAGCGAATGACGACCACGATTGAATTCAGTAAACCAGTGATATACAGTGGCCTTGCATGGGGCTTCATCGCCAAAGACTAAATGAAGTTGATCAAAACACTGTTGTTGAGATACACCCAATCCAAAGTCGTAGTAAATTATCGCACGAAAATTTTCACGAGTAAAATTCATTTTACTTTTTCGCACACACCCAGTGTGTATTGGAATCGGTCGAAAAATTAACACCCTCAAAAAACATGTTCTCTGGGTATTTTAGGAGCCAGGGAACACGATCCAGTCAATTTCTCGATGTCCGAATGTATGTGCGTGGTACCCTGTACCCTGTATCCTGTACCCTGTACCCTGTACGCAAAAATTTGTTAACACGATAACTTTCAAACGAGAAAAGTAATTCAAAATCTGACTTCACAGGATGATTGGGGGTGCCGAAGAATAGAAACCATTAGATTTTGAGCGACTTTGGTTGATAGAGTAAAGTGTCATGTCTGGTGTGATGCCCATGGCCATCCATAGGAAAAATTCAATATTTCTACCAAAAGTGATATTTAATGTATTCCTAAACACTCCTGTATCATATCGTAATGTGCAGAAACCATGCCTGTATCATATCGTAATGCGCAGAAACTTTGCACAGGTTATTTTTTTCACACAAAAATAACATTTCGAGAGTTTGAAGAGATTTCAATTCAAATTAGGGGTACCTCCCGAACAAAATTTTGGATTTTTTGCTCAAAAACGAAAATTTTGTATGAAAACTTAATTGTATTGAAATTGAATGTTTTTTCAGAATGTTAGCTTTTTGTGAAACAAATAACATCTGCAAATTTTCACATGATTACGATATCATACAGGCATTGAAAAGTCGTTCAAAAATTATTTGTATCGCAAAACTTATATCAGATTCAGTTTTCTCATGAATTCATATTTACGGTAAAAGATACGTAATAAATGCATGTTGTGGATCACAGTGCGAAAAAGTTCATCTTACTGATGTAAGACATTTTATTTTTGTTGAGACGCGATTTAGATGTCACTGTAAACAATACAAATAGCGCGCGTATGACAGAACGTTCTGAGATCGTTTATGCTACCAAATGTTAAACTTAACGAATATGACAATGGTTTGTATCGGACAACACTAAATATGGCCAATTCTAGAAATATATGGAGCAGTCCTCGTAAAAAACCCTAGCAAATTCGAATAGTTTTCGAGAAAAAAAATTCTCATCTAAATCACAAGGAAGTTTAAAAACACGCCCCCCCCCCCCGCCACACACTTCTGCTGTAAAGTATGGTAAGAGCCCAACTAGTATGGCTTAATCACCAAACATCGCTGAAAGCTGTCAAAACAACCAAAGAGGCAAACATTTCTCATCTAAATCACAGGGGGGTTTAACAACCCCCCACACAATACTTATGTAAAGTATGGTAATAGCCCAATTAGTAATGACATAATCACCAAACATCGCTCAAAGCTGTCAAAACAACCAAAGAGGGAAAAAGTATTGACCAGAATTTAAGAGATATGCATAACACAATGTTTATAAACTAACTTGCAAGTGGAAGGGGAACTCTAGTAGGATTACTACAATTCAATTTCGATTCGTTAAATTGACAATACCAACAAATACTGACTGTCAGAGGTAAACTAAATTTTATTTAAAATACTACTACTTTTTTTATTACTAATACTACTACTTTGTTCATCATGTTTGTTATTGATCTACCATTCGTCGTGACCAATTCATGCATACTTTCATTCGCTGATGATACAAAAATTTCAAAATGTATCACCTCAACAGATGACTGCATTAATCTTCAAAATGACTTGGATCGTGTTGCGGATTATTATGAACGCAATTTATTAAAATTAAATGTCAACAAAACTAAGATCATATCATATCATCGGGGATCACTACAATATTAATACGAATACAATATAGGCGGCGTTCAAATTGAAAGAGTATTTGTAATAAGGGACTTAGAAGTGTTGCTTGATGTGCAAATGAATTTGATGTTTTTGGGGAGCTGTCACGTGAGCTGTCACGTCTGCATGTTTTTTTTTCTTCG